AGCCATCCAAAAACACCGGAAAAACCTGGATCCTCCCATGATGCGTTCGAGGGGGGGTGGGTCGTCCAAGGCCACGGGGGGGGGAGTAAATTTCCGGTTCGGGGCCCCCGAGGGGGGATTGGGGGGGGTGAATCTCAGACGCGTAGAGACCCAAGGGGGCGAAGAATTATGATTTTGCAGCTCCTTACAGGGGGCGGGAGGAACCCTCGCCCATCGTCCCCTCCGTCTGGCTCATCCTTCGTCCCTTCTCTTTCGTCATCCCCATGTCCACTCCTTCCTCATCCGTCCTCCCTCCTCCTCCGTCCTCAGCCTGCAGGGGCCTACAGGGGGGGCCCTGGCTTTTTTGGTCCAGGAGGGTATCCTGCAGTGAGTCTTCGTCGTCGTCTTCGTTATCATCTTCGTAGTTCTGTTGCCGTTATCGCGGCGTCAAATGTTTCCAGACCTACATGACCACCCTTCGGTTGATAAGGAGGTTCGGGGGGAGGAACCAACCAATGTCTCAATCAATCGATCTCATAGTCGATTTCACTATCGATCTCACTATCGATCTCACTATCGATCGCACAATAGATCTCGCTATCGATATCACTATCGATCTCACTATCGACCTCACAATCGACCTCACTATCAATATCACTATCAATCTTAGTATCGATCCCACTATCGATTCCACTATCGATCTCACTATCGAAGGTTGGGGGGCGAGATCGCAGTGGAACGGAGAGCCCCTCACCGGAATATCGGTTTCGGTTTCGTCTTTCTTGTCGTGCGTGCGGGCGGGGCGGAGCTGCGTGGGCGCGAGAGAGGAATGACCCCGCCGTCGCTAGGGCGATTCGGATGCAGTCGACCGCTCCTCCTGTCCCAGAGGGCGCGCGGTGGCCCGGGGTGTCCCGCCGTGGCGTCCTGTTGGTGTCCTGTCGGTGTTCCGTGGGCGGTGGACGGGCGGTGGTTGGGGGTGTCCCGCCTTGGTATCGACAGTGACGTCGATAGTGAGATCGACAACGAGATCGCCAGAATGGGATGAGTTCAAAAGTGAGATCGGCAGTGAGGTTGATTGCGACATTGGTTGTGAGATCGATGGTGGGAGCGATAGTGAGAGCGATGGAGGAATCGATAGTGATATCGATAGTGAGATCGATAGTGATATCGAAAGCGATATCGATGTTGAGAACGATAGTGGCATTACATCGCAGCGCAACGTCGTCATCACGCGCCGTCGCTAGCTCGAGGGCGCGTCACCAGCATCGTCATCATCACGCCCATCGCGTTTGCCAGCACTTGGTTCTTTCCCTCACAACTCCCAATATCTTTATCACCCGAAGGGGTGGTCGTATAGGTCGATCTCACTATCGGTCTCACTGTCGATCTCACTATCGATTTCACAATCGATCTTACTATTGATCTCACTATCGATCTAACTGTTGAGCTTGCTATCGATGTCAGTAGCGATCTTACTACTGATCTCACTGTCGATAACACCATCGATTCCAGTATCGATCTCACGGGACACCACGGGACAACACGGGACACCGCGGGACACCGCAGGACACCATGGGACACCACGGGACACCACGGGACACCATCAGGACACCGCGGCGGGACACTCTGGGACATCGCGGGACACCATGGGACACCACGGGACACTACGGGACACCATCACGGGACACCACGCGACATTGCGGGACACCGCGGGACATCACGCGACACCGCGGGACACCGCGGGACACCACGGGACACCACGGAACACCATGGGACACCATTAACACACCACCAGGACACCATTGGGACACGAATCGAGACACCGCGGGGCACCACGGGACACCAGGTGACACCATTTGGACACCATGGTGGAACACCCCCCAGCCACCGCCCGCCACGCGGCGGGGTCGGGGCGGACTTCTGTCCTCGCCGCGCACCAGCCAGAGGAGGGTTCATTCCGCTCGCCCGCCCACGGAGCTTCGCCTCGCTCGCGCACATGACACGAACCCGAAACCGAAGCTGATCTCCGGGTGGGGGGGCCTCTCCGTTCCACTTCGATCTCACCCCTTCACTTCCGATTGCGTCATGCATCGTCATCGTCGTCATCGTCATCATCGCAGTCTTCGGGATCGTCGTCGTCGTCGTCGTCGTCGTCGTCGTCGTCGTTGTCATCGTTGTTTTCATCATGGTCGCCATCGTCGTATTCGTCGACATCTTCATTGTCGTCGTCATCGACGTCTTCATCAGCGTGATCTCCGCTGCATGTCGTCGTCATCGTTTGCATCGTCGTCATCTTCGTCTGCACCGTCGTCGATTCTGTACTGTCTTCATCCTGGAAGTCACGCGATGAACAAATGGCGATCAGTCTTGACATCAATACTGCTGCTGATGACGGTGATGAGGATGCGCCGCGCAGCCTTGCCTTGCCCAACATAGTCAGCACTGCGCTCGGCTCAGCTGAGGAGCCATGGCCGAGGCTTCGAAGAAGCCCGCCGCGGACGATTCTCGAAAGCAGAATCAGGATTGGCCGGCGAAGCACGGCGAAGGGGGCTCTCGGGGTGGTCGGACTTGGCCCCCAGAGCAGCACGTGCTTGCCGGCGCCGGAAGTTTCGGCCGATCTGCGTGAGAGTGAAGGTGTGCCGCGGTCTGGGTTTCGGGGGAGGCCGCCGACTGCCCGTGTTCCCCGCGCCCGCCCTTCCAAACCTCAGCGAAGCGCAGACACAGAGTAAGGCGCGTGGGTCAGCCAGCGGCGGGTTCTGTTTCCGTTCGGAGTCGGCGCGCTCCGTCGTCCAATCATGCGTCTTTTGCCTTCATGTTTTGGGGGCTACTTTCCCCGATCCGCGGTCCAGAATGTGTAGAGTCTGTGCGTTTGGGCTATCCTGGGAGCCTCTTGGAGGCCTCTTGAGGCCTCTTGAGGCCTCTTGGACGTCTTTGGGCTTCTTGGGGGCTTGTTTGGGGCCTGTTGGAGTGTCTTGGGGGCCTCTTGTGCCGTGCTGGGGCCATTTTGGGCCGCTTTGGCTTCACCTAGGGCCATTGCGAGACCCTCCAGAGTCGTCTCGATGACCTCTTCGACCATCAAGACGCCCAATAATCTAAATTTATGGATTTCCCTCTGATTCTTTTATGTTGTTGGGCCGCCGAAGGGGTCCAACAAATTTTGGTCCGTGGATTGGGCGTGGCTATCGTGGTGTTGGCGGGGAGTCAGGGTCTTTACATAGAAGCAACATGTAGAAGCAGTATAATATGATTTGATATGTAGTAATGTACAGTCATTGGACACACGGTGACATTACAGCTTTTGCAGACCTGCCTCCTGCAACAGGTTCTTTCTGGACGTAGACCCCGTGTTCGAAGCTTGTTTTGGACCTGTTTCACACACGTTGAGCGCACTCTTCATGCAATGATCGGATTGTGAGGGTGTCCACTTGTCATGGCATCCACAAGTGGAGACCCATGCCAAGAAACACCGTGCTTGCCTCCAGGGTGCCCTGGGCTTCTTGGGATTCGATGGTTTTGCGACAGAGAGCATGACGTTCCTATGGGGACGGTTTTTCAACTGCTCTTGCCAATTTTGGAGTATCCTGTGACTACTTTTCATGTTTCGTCCAAGATCCCTCTGTAGAAGGACATGCCCGACCTAAGACCAGGGGGGACGCATCGAGTCCGCATCGCCCATCAATCGCCGACAGGGGCTGGCCAGCCCACCCCGTGCGGCCTGTGTGGCCGCCGCTGGTTTGCGGGTCTCCGAGAGCAGGAGCCAGCCCCTGCTTTGACCTTGCCTTGCTCGGCTGCCCCTGCGGGTGTCGGGCCTCGGTTTAAGTCGGGCTTGTCCCTCAACAGGCGGAAATCTCAAAATTAGTAGAAAAATAGTCGGGACGATTCTTTTACATCTTTTTGGACAATTTTTGAGTATTTATGGACAATTTCTAATTCTTCCTCGAAGATCGGCCTCGGTCTTTCGCTCGGTCGCTGTGCCTGCGCCGTCGTGCGTTTCCTCCGGCCCTCGCTCGCTCGCTCTCGTCGGGCCCTCGTGCGGTCCCGTGCTGCGGGGAGCTGGCGCTGGACTAAACCGGCGTCCAGATCAAGCAACGTGGGCCCATCCCCGAGCCGTCGGCGATGCATCGCCGATTCCAGCTCGATGCTTCCCCCCCTGAGCTGGCCCCCGCCTGACGTTCCCCCTCGTGCCCGCGGACGTCCGAAGCTGATGGTTGTATGCGTTCACGCCCTCCTCTCGGTTCTTCCCACCGGTCCACCCTGGAGTGCCCTTCGGATCCCCTCCACACCCAGGCCGCTTCCGTCCACCCGGATCCTCTCAACTCGGCTCCACCCACTGTTCTTCTCCGCTCTCACTGTCCCTTCCCTCCCCCGTCGCTCGTCATCGTCCTTCTCCTCCTCCATTTCCTCCTTCCTCTCCGCTCCTCCCTCCTCCCCGCTCCCTTCCACCTCCCTCCGCCCTTCTGCCTCCTTTTTTTCCCAACCCTCCTGTGTTGGGTTCTCCTTTCGAGTAGAGCATTGGTCTCCACTCCTCCGTCCTCCTCCCTCCCCTTCTGCCGCCTGGTTCCTACTCCCTGCCTCCAGTCTCCTCTTCCTCGTCCTCCTCCCTGGGGGGCTGCGAAGTGCGAAACCGTCGCCACTTTCGTGGGCTCCTGGGAGGCCTAAACACACCCAGTCGAGACCTCGCGGCTCCCCTGGGGGGCTGCGAAGTGCGAAACTGTCGCCACTTTCGTGGGCTCCTGGGAGGCCCAGCGGAGTGGAGTTGTAAACACACCCAGTCGAGACCTTGCGGCTCTCTGAGGGGGCTGCGATCTGCGCAATTGTCGCCACTTTCGTAGGATCCTGAGAGGCCCAGCGGAGTGGAGTTGTCAACACACCCAGTCGAGACCTCGCGGCTCCCCTGGGGGGCTGCGAACTGCGCAATTGTCGCCACTTTCGTGGGCTCCTGGGAGGCTCAGCGGTGGAGTTGTAAACGCACCCAGTCGAGATATCGCGGCTCTCTGAGGGGGCTGCGAATTGCGAAACTATCGCCACGTTCGTGGGCTCCTGCAATGCCCACCCGATTGGAGTTTCAACACACCCATTTTAGATTACGCGGCTCCCCTGTGTTGTCTGCGATCTGCGCAACTGTCGCCGCTTTCGTGGGCTCCTGCGAGGCCCAGCGGAGTGGAGTTGTAAACACACCCAGTCGAGACCTCGCGGCTCTCTGAGGGGGCTGCGAACTGCGCAATTGTCGCCACTTTCGGGGGCTCCTGCGGGTCCTTCAACATGTTCGTTTGTATTGAGCGGTCGGGTGTATCGTCGCCAGAGGTGTTGAGGTTGAGTACGTCGCAGGGTAATTTCTTCCTCCCCTCACTTCTCCCTCCCTCGTTTCCCATTTCAAAATTACATGTTAGCCATCGTGGACCCCGAGCACGGTGTTTCTAGCAGCGCATGCACATACATATACATGTACGTATACACATTCGTATGCTATGCATACACCTGCATACATACACGCATACACATATACACATGCATACATGCATGCATGCATGTATGTATACATACATCCAAACATACACACGCACATACACACATCCACACATACAAACATACATACATGCATGCACGCACACATGCCTCCATACACACATTCGTACACACATACATACATGCATACAACCACACATACACACAAACGTACATACATACCTACATCTATACATACACCTATGCACACATACATACACACAAACATACACCCATGCTTACATCCATGCTTCCATACATACATACATACATACATACAGACATACAGACATACAGACATACATACATACAGACATACAGACATACAGACATACATACATGCATGCATGCATGCATGAATACATACATACATACACACATACACACATACACATACAAACATACATAAACCGTAGACGGGCAAACGGAGATGTAGCTAACGGCGATGTAGGTTTTGGTATTGTAGGTGAGGCTGGCTCGCGTGCTGGCGGCACTGGCATCAGGGGAACCGTGTCTCGCAGGTGCGACCTGCATGAAAAGCAGCCTTGTTTGCATTTATTATTGGATTTCCTACGAACTCAGACTATCGCGCCGTAGACGGTTAAACGGCGACGCGGATAACGGCGACGCAGGAAAAACGATTGAAGGAAAGCGTTGTTGGTGGCCGAGCCTTTGGTAGGAAAGCGTGGTTCGTGCATTCCTACATTTCGCGGTGTCGTTTTCGCTCGGTACATTCGCAAATTTGAAATGTAGGAAACGGTGGTTCGTGATTTCCTACATTTCGTTTTGCGTGGGCTCTGCGTCGCAACTACGTCCGATTTCAAACGAGCGCGCGCGATAGTTGCACGTGCGGCGCGCACACGGCTTTGTCGCCTGTAAGCGTTCGGGAACACTTGAACAAGGATGTTGAAGCTTGTTTTCGTCAAGATGGAAAGTAATTGCACCATGGCGCCAAATTCACCGAGTTTACACTGCGAGCGGGGGGTCTTAAAAATCATATTCTCAACCTCGCCGTTAAGCAACATCGCCGTTTGCCCGGGTTTGGAGAAATACAAACATACATACATACATACACACATACATACATACATACATACATACATACATACATACGTACGTACGTACGTACATACATACATACACACACCCACGCACATACATACATACACACATACATGCACACATCCACACGCACATACATACATACACGCAATCGCATACATACATACATACATACATACACACATACATCCATACACACATACATACATACATACATACATCCATCCATGCATGCATGCATGCATGCATGCATGCATACATCCATACATACACATATACACATACACACATACACACATACATACACATACACACATATACACATACCTACACACATACGTACTCACACATGCATGCATGCATGCATGCATGCAGCCATACATCCAAACATGCTTACACATACACATATGCGTATATACATATATATCCTATTTACGTGCACATATATATATATATATATATATATATATATATATAGGTACATGTACACACGCACATATACTGATATTATTAATCATGGTAGTAGTAATTTTGATAATTAGAATCGTCGTAGTAAACACAACAATAATAACAGTACTAATAATCGAATACGGCCCCCCTCCCCCTGGGAGCGTCCCCCACCTTCGTGACATCTGGGGGGCAACTCCTGGTACCGTGCCCCTGGGCCTCCCAGGGAGGCCCCAAACAGCCCAAGACAGATTGCCGGCGGCTCTCCAGGCTCCCAGGAGGCCTCCAAGAGGCCCCAAGAGAGCTCCGCGAGGCGTCCCAGGATCACCCGACGAGGCCCAAAGCGTTCATTATCATTTTTTTTGTTTTTTGATTTTTATTAGCCTTCTCGCGTTTTCAAGCTCCAAGACGGCTGAGAAAAGCCTTCAAGACTGCCCCAATATCGCCTAAGAGCCCTCAAGACGTCTCCAAGACGGGCCAAGAAGGCCCCAAGACGGCCCAAGAGCG